ATGCAAAAACACCTCATCCTGTACATTCAGTGTCTTTCTAGGCAACAGTGTTCCAATAAATATTCTTTATACTGAAGCATATTTTAATGATTCTATTTTCCTTATGAGGTTTATGTATTATTTATACTTGTAATATTACTTCTAGCAATATTCCATAGCTCCACAGTAAATTAGACTAGAACGGAAAAGAAAAAGGAGGGGATGAGAGAAATGAAAAGAAAAAAAAGAGGAGAAGGAAGGGAATTGAAGAATTTATCATTTTTGATAGTTGGCCACTGGTCTGAGGTTGCTTTATATATTTTTTTTTCTTTTTTTTTTTTCAATTTGACAATTTTTATTGTTTTGTTTGAGGATACAGAAATCGAAAAGGAAATGGGGAGGTCAAGTTTAGGTTACGATGACAATCATAATTGCAGCAACAGTCGTAACATTGTTCACATGACAGCAGTTACATCTCATCTATTATGTATCATCTGAATATTATGTCAGAGTTGCCTCATTTCTGTTCAGTAACGACATATGTAGTACATTTACAGTAGGCTTCATTATTTAATAATACCGTTGTAGTATATTTTGGATCAAAGGCCATGTGGTCTGCTTGACTATGGTCTGGGATGACTTATTTTGCTCAGGAACAGTTTTCTGGTGTTGAGCTGGTTGTCAGACATGCGTGGTACGATGCATTGTCTTGTCTGTGTGGGAGGAGGGAAGGGGGGTCAAGAAGTACCCGGGTGGCAAGCAGGGGCCTGTGTATAGGAGTCCCAGTTTTCCTATGCCGCTCTCCAATACTTGGCCTGTGGTTGTGTGCTCCGTGCCATTATTTCAAAGTGTTTATTAGTTTCCATTGGGCTATTGTAGGTGGAGAGGTTTTTTCCATTGTCTACTGATAACTGTTTAAGAAAACCTTAAAGACCATATTCCGTAAATTTTTAACTACTCAAGTGATGTGGGAAAAGTTAAACACATCATAAAAAAGAATTGGCACATTCTCAAACAGGAGCATGAAATAAAATAATTAATTGGGGACAAGCCAAAATTTATTTTTAGGGGAGCTAGGAATTTTAAGCAAAAGCTAACAAAAAGTTTCTTAGATAAGGAAGTCCCGAATGCAACAAACTTTCTTACCACATGGACACAAAAACTAAAAGGTTTTTCCCATTGTGGTTCATGCAATGCATGCATTAATTCAAATATAGCTAATAAAAATATAATAGAATTTTGTTCATCTGTAACTGATAACAAATATAAGATCAAATCATATATCAACTGTCATACTAAAAACATCATTTATTTGTTAAAATGTACATGTGGATACCAGTATGTTGGGAAGACATCTAGACCTGTTAAAATAGAATTAGCGAGCACATCAGAAACATTAAGAAAGGATTTATAAATCATAGTGAATCGAAACACTTTTTAGAAAAAAATAATTCAGACCCTGGAACATTGGAATTTTATGCAATAGAGAAAGTAAGCAAGCATTGGAGAGGAGGAGATTTGGGGAAAAAACTGTGTTTACAAGAGTCAAAATGGATTTTTGAAATGAGAACACTAACTCCGTTAGGGTTAAATTTAGATTTTGAGATCAATTGTATTCTATAGTTCTCCAATATTGAAACATATCTCCTTCTCTGTATATGTCTCTATGCTTTTATGGATTTTTATCACGATTCTTTTATCACCTTTTTATCTATTAACTTATCACTGGAAATAAGGGTTTTAGAATGCTGATGATATACTTAGATGTATTTTAAATGCCTGATATAGTATATATATATATATATATATATATATATATATATATATATATATATATATATATATATATTTACCTATGTTTTTTATGTTTTTATGTTATTCACATCCCCCCACATATGTATTTAATGGACACTATGGACATGAATGCCCATCACTATAATGGACTACGAAGGTTCGATGCCACTCCCCTAGAACTTCAAAGGGATATTGAACTCAGTGATGCGCACGCAACCGGAAGTATGTCACCGGAAGTGACGCGACACAAGGACGGCCAAAGAAAAGGAAAAAAGGAGAAGAAAGGAAGGAGAAGAAGAAAAGAAAGGACAGAAGAAAGGAAAGAAAGGGATTTATTTTTGGGGCTCTGTCTGGAAAAGGATGTGGCGCCATATTGGGGGGGTGGCAGACCACATCCTATCCAGACCATATTTGGAAATGGGAGGGAATTTGTTTTTTCAATTAACACAAGTGATATTATTTTGTAATTAAGTATGTTACATATATAAATTATGGATATTCAGTGTATGAGATACCTGCACCTGAGGAAGACCTTATTATTCTTTATACTTTAACTAAAGTCAAATAAATATTTACTTTTAATTTCCACCTTGGACCATGGAATATTTGTTACATTAAACCATCGAGTTCCTGAGTTCCTGTGGGTGTGACTGCTGAATTTCTACCTACAAATCTCCTGAAGTGAGATGTAATGCACCATAAGTCCAGAGCCAACTTATAATAGGCTCTAAAAATTGTGAGTTTGCCGACTACTCTTATTCATAATATTTGTTTAAATACAGGTCACACTATGTGTATTTGTTTTATTTAATATAGGCAAAAAGACACTTCTAAGAAAGAACCTGTATTATATATTTTTTAAGGTAAACATATTTATTTATGTGCGCTAGTCACTTTATTCTGTACAATCACGTGTTTAAGTGTAAAAAGTGACATAACACTTGGTGATTTTTAGCAGCACTAGACACTTTCTTCTTACTTCAGCACTGCTTTATTTATTCTACTTTTCTGACGTATACCTGTAGGTTGCACGGGAGGACTGTTTCTGGCCCCGCCCTCAGGCGGAGGTTATTCCGTCTCACCCTATCTTCAGAGTCCGCCATGCGTGTCTCCATGGTCTTCAGCTTGTGTTCCAGTGCCTGCATGCGGTCTATTGTATTGTTGTGGACGGAGGTGAGCTCCTCGTACGTCTTCTTCACATTGGCTGTTTTCGTGCTTAGCTCTGATACCTCCTTGCATTGCTGGTCGGCTGTGTGCTGCCATGAGTTGATTAGTTTTGTGGACAGTGTCTCTAATGCTCTTGCAAAGTAGTCCTTGGTAAGGCTTTCAGTGTGTGAGGGTTCTTCCACAGTCGCATTTGGTAGCTGTTGACTGGGTCGTCAGCGCCATCCTGCATCGCGGCCCGCACGGCTTCAGACATGGAGGACGGTTTCTGGCTGAAAAAGTTGAGCTTGTCAGCTTTTGAAGCGTTTTCTTGCTCTTATGTTGGGACATGGTTCAAGGGTAGAAGTTTTTATGGGGTTCTGCTTAATTAATGCATCGCTATAGGGTAAGTTCAGTGCCTCCATGCAGAGCGTGGAGACGCTGGACATTAGTGCTGAACATTGGGCAACACTGACCCAGGAAGCACCTCTTTCTCTGAAAAGGCAGAGCTTACATGAAAATGCCTGCAGGGACAGACTATAGACACCAGAACAAGCACATTAAGCTGTAGTTGTTTTGGACACATAAAACTAAGAAAACCATTGAAAGAGCTCTACACTATTACGTTCATATAAAACATGATGCATATAAAACATGATGCATTTTCCCTATTATCAATAGATTTACACAATTTGTCCATTCTACTGAAAGACATATAGGCAAATGTAAATTACAACAAATGAAATAAAGAACAAATTGATTGTTGGACAAAAAGATAAATAGAACCGTTGTTTTTCGACAACCCTACAAAGAGGAAAAGGGTATGTAGAAAAGAAGGCAAAAATAGTCACTTAACCTAAAACGTGAGAGTAGGATTAACCCAAGTAATGAAATTCAAGACATTCAATAAGGAGTTAAACTAGGTACAGAACTGATAGGGGAAAAAATAAAATGGCTAAAAATTATTTTATTGAAAAAATATATAACAAAAACGAACCAAAAAGGACTCAATACAATGTCTTCTAAAAAAGTTAAAATAAAGTGCCAGAGCAAGCTAAAATACTCCCTAAGTTGCCCTTAGCTAAGTTACTAGAGGACCAAAATGTATTAAAAGGCAACACTAGGAGCAATCTGTCAAAAACTACTTTAAAGCGACAGATAAACTACTACTACTGCCCTCATCTGTTCATATCACCACATGGGCTGCTAAAGGTTAACAGACAGGACAAATGTAAAAAGTAATAAATGCATATTATTAAGATATTCTCCTAGGAAAAGGGAACAGAAATAACCTTAAACAAAGCAACCTCCAGAAGCCCTGTTACTACCTCTATGTACCCTAGAACGTGGGTGCACCTACAGAACACTAAAAAAGGGGAGGGAGGAAACAGAAGTATTGACCTCTGATAAATCTAAACAAATCTGTTACTTCTCGCAGATCTGTGTGCTATCTAAGAGGTTTTTCTTTTTCCCGGTCCTCCTTTTTATCAAGTTTGGGTGGACTAAGGATGTCCACTTATTTGCCAGCAAACTAGCACTTCATAAATATAATCAGATTTGTAAGGAGAGAAAAGCCCAATCTATGGGTCTGACAGTTAAAAAATATGAGTGATGAAACTGAGTAATGACATGGTTGAAACAAATTTACCAAGGAAAAGTTTGCGTGCAAAGAGCACTTTCCCTCCACGAAAGACTTTCAGAACATCAAAGTGCTAAGAACTGGTATAGATTAAAGAACAGCGCACACATACAAATACAGTTTGATATTTTATAAGGCTACTTAAAATCACTATTCTCAACAAACAAATATGGGGATTCAGTTCCACCATATTGCCATATTATGTTAAAGGACCACTCTAGGCACCCAGACCACTTCAGCTTAATGAAGTGGTCTGGGTGCCAGGTCCTTCTAGGGTTAACCCATTTTTTCATAATTATAGCAGTTTCAGAGAAACTGCTATAATTATGAATGGGTTAAGCCTTCCCCCTAATCCTCTAGTGGCTGTCTCATTGACAGCTACTAGAGGCGCTTGCGTGCTTCTCACTGTGAAAATCACAGTGAGAGCACGCCAGCGTCCATAGGAAAGCATTGTAAATGCTTTCCTATGAGACCGGCTGAATGCGCGCGCAGCTCTTGCCGCGCGTGCGCATTCAGCCGGCGGGGCGTAACGGAGGCGGAGAGGAGGAGGAGAGCTCTCCGCCCAGCGCTGGAAAAAGGTAAGATTTTACCCCTTTCCCCCTTCCAGAGCCGGGCGGGAGGGGGACCCTGAGGGTGGGGGCACCCTCAGGGCACTATAGTGCCAGGAAAACGAGTATGTTTTCCTGGCACTATAGTGGTCCTTTAAGCCCACCACAACTTTACACCCCAAAATCAGTGGGTTAAACACTAATTCCAGCATGGGAGATAAATTAAATAGTACTAAACGAGCTAAAGTGTATTTTAATAATCTGTGGCAATAATCTATGTAAAATGAATGTGATAAACACAATTAAAAAAAAAATGCAGTGTCAAAACTAAACAATTAAAGTGCTTGATGTATATGCTCACAATGCATATCATATCTGCTCGAAACCAAATGAAAATGATAATTAAAGTGAAATTACTATTCACATTGATTTTTTTATCACAATATGTACATCATGTCTTCATGTGGAGATGGTATATTGATGACGTACTAGTGATCTGGCTGGGCACTGAAGCACTAAAGAGTGGGTGCTCCTTTTGGATACCAACCCTTATAACCTCCAGTTTTATTATTACTAAATAGAGGTCTTAGTTTTTTCTTCCATCTTCTTTTCTTCAGTCCTAAAAAGCCCCCCAAAAATTCATGAAAGTTGTGTAGCAACTATTAAAATAAAAAAGGAATGGATTACAACAACCCCTAAAACAATATACAACACAATAAAAACAATTCTTCTTCACCCCACATTATCAGACTGAGTTTGCATAGTGCTGAAAGCCCTTATAAAGGCTTTCCCACTCTGTTTAAAGCTATAATGCTCTGCTTGGTTGGCTTCCAAGCGGCCGCAGGCACATACTCTGCAGAGGGTTTCATTGTAGTTTTTTGCTGAGGGATTGAAGATAAACTATAAGGAGTTGGAAATATTAATTGAGGAAAAATTATTCTACATTTGATAGCAATTTGGCAAGCACACTGTACATCTGTGTATCTGTATTGGCAAATTCCCATGGAAGAGGAGGTGACGGTGAAGTCTGCATTTATCACTCCGTTTGGGCTTCACCAGTTTTTGATAATGCCATTCGGGATGGAAAATGCACCTGCCATCTTCCGGAGACTAGTTGACCAACTCCTCCAAAATTTCTGTGAATTTGCGTGGGCCTACTTGGATGATATCATTATTTTTAACATCTCCTGGTTGATGATCATGTGCATCAAATTGAGGCTGTACTGGACAGAATTGGGCAGGCGGGGCTGACTATTAAGCCAGACAAGTGTAGCCTTGAGGTGCAGTAACTAGGTCACTGGTTAGGAGGAGGGCAGGTGAGGCCAGACCCTGCTCAGGTAGAAGCCAACAGGCAGTGGCCCACGCCTCAGACAAAGAAGAAGGTCTTTTTTAGGACCGCAGGGTACTACAGGAAGTTTTTCTGACAAAGAAAGTGCTTGTCCCCTTTTAAGTCAATATTACACTTGCCCATTGGGCTTAATTTGGCTCAATTTTGCTGTTTGGGCCAAGTCCATATTTTGATTCTATAACCGTGCGATGTAACCGATTCTATAACGACTAGCGCGATGCCTAAACATATGCTTAAAAAATACACTAAACATATGCTTCATCCGAATCCGAAAGTGGGACAGAATGGAATGATTTTTTTATGGAAGAGCAAATAAACAGTTTATTTTGCAATGATGGAAAGAGGTCTGACAAAACATGTGGGCTGCATCTCCTCTCTAATCAAGAGGTGGAAAAAATATAGTTAGGGGAAGGCCACTAAACGTTGATTTTATTCACAGGTCAAGTGAGAAGTAACCAATAGAAGAGGAAAAAGGAGGAGCAGTAAACAATCTATATGTCCAAGCAGGATATTTCTAGAAGACACTTTGACTCCAGCTTATGAGAGAGGCAGACAGGGGTAGCCTGCTTTTATCCTTGCTGTGCCTGTGTGGTAGTAGGAGAGAGCCGGTCTCATTGATCTTAGTGTAAGACTAGTTAGGTTTAGCTTACTGCTGTACCTGCATAGCTACTGCTAGTTTTTCATGTAATAACTTTGATAGTCAGGGTCATTGATCCTAGTTGAAGACTGTTTAGGTTTAGGTTACTGCTTTACCTACTAGCTACTGACAATTGCATGCATACCAAGTCTGAGTGGGAGATAGCCTGGGCACCAGGGTTAAATATTGAAATAAAACTTAAATGTGTACCCTGGCTGTGCCTGTGTGGGAGTGGAAAATTGCCTTTGTCATTGATCCTAGTGTAAGACTAGTCAGGTTTGTTACTTCTGTACATACTTCGCTACAGCTAGTTTCACTTACAGCAATTATGAGTGGGAGACAGCCTGTGTCATTGATCCTAGTGTAAAACTGGTTAGGTTTAAAGGACCACTATAGTGCCAGGAAAACAAACTAGTTTCCCTGGCACTATAGGGTCTTTGGATCCTCCCCACCCTTAAGGTCCCACTCCCGCCGGGCTGAAGGGGGAGAAAGGGGTTAAATTCATACCTTTCTCCAGCGCCGGGCTCCCTCAGCGCAGGAGACTCTCCTCCCTCTTCCAACGTCATCCGCCGAATGCAAGGCAAGAGCCGTGCGTGCATTCTAATTTCCTACGTACGGCAGCGTCTTCGCACTGTGACAATCACAATGAGAAGCGCGGAAGTGCCTCTAGCGGATGTCAATGAGACAGCCACAAGAGGCTGGATTAACCCTAATGTAAACATAGCAGTTTCTCTGAAACTGCTATGTTTACAGCTGCAACGTTAACCCTAGATGGACCTGGCACCCAGACCACTTCATTGAGCTGAAGTGGTCTGGGTGTATATAGTTGTCCTTTAAGTTACTACTGTACCTACATAGCTACTTCCAGTTTCACATATAATAACTTTAAGTGGGAGGCAGTCTGGGTCATTGATCCTAGTGTGAGACTGGTTAGGTTTAGGTTACTACTGTACCTACCCAGCTACTGATGGTTTCATGCACACCAACTTTGAGTGGGAAATAGATAGCCTGGGCACCAGGGATTAATATTTAAATGAAAATCAAATGTGTGTGTGAGTGAATTAATGTGATTATATGTGTGTGTGTGTTTGTATATGAATATGAGTGTGTACATGGATGTGAATGTGTGTGAATATATGTGTGTGTGGGCCTATGAATATTATTCTGTGTCAGTATGTAAGTGTCAATGTGTGTATATGAATATCAGTGTGTGCATATTTATTAGTGTGTATTTATATGACTTTTTGTGTGTGCATGTGTGTATGAATGTGTGTCTGTATGGATGTTTGTGTGTGTGTATATGAATGTGAGTGTGTGAATATGTGTGTATAAATAAATGGGAGAGTGTGTTTGTAATTTCCCTTACAAAACAGTGTTAAGAGCATTGTAGAGAGCAAACAACAACAACAAATTCTACAGGGAGGAGGTGCCAATGCACGTTTTTGACATGTGTTCCAAAGAACCTAGGTAGATCTCGCAAGGTTATTAACCAACGTGTGAATTGTTGGGCATGCACAGTGAATTTCAAATTAAAGGCCAAAGTAACTGAGTTAGCAAAAAACAAGGCGTGTAGAGGGGGTATTTCATATGTGTAACACTTGGACTCCTATTGTATGTGGATTCATTTTAAAATAATTTGCATTACTATATGAACAGTTAAGCATATGGCAAGCTATACTTTTACGCAGTGGCGTACATATCAGGGCCGCAGGGGTCGCGGCTGCGACCGGGCCCGGCCCACCAGGGGGCCCGGCCGCCCCTGCGAACCGGTATGTAGCCACAGGACCAGCCTCTTCTCCTGGGGGGCCCAGGAGCCGACCACCCCAGGGCCCCCCGAGGCTGGCCCTGCTGACCCCGGGTGGCCAGTCGGCAGGCAGGCGCGCGAGGGAGCACTCAGTGCTTCCTCTTCAGCTCCCTCGCGCACCGCACTGATAGCGGAGCCGGAAGATGACGTCATCTTCCGGCGCCGGCATCCCTAAGCGGCGCGCGAGGGAGCTGAAGAGGAAGCACTGAGTGCTCCCTCGCGCGCCCGCCTGCCCGACCGGCCACCCGCCAGCTGGGGTCAGCAGCACCACTGGACCCCAGGGAATCCCCCCAGCACTCCAAAAGGTAAGGAGGCTGGGGGTTTAAATTTAAAAAAAAAACAAAAAAACGTGTGTGTGTGTGTTAGAGGGAGCGTTAGTGTGTGTGTTAGAGTGAGTGTTAGAGTGAGTGTTAGAGTGAGTGTTAGTGTGTGTGTCTGCTAGTGAGTGTTAGTGTGTGTGTTAGAGTGAGTGTTAGAGGGAGTGTTAGTGTGTGTGTTAGAGTGAGTGTTAGAGGGAGTGTTAGTGTGTGTGTTAGAGTGAGTGTTTGAGTGTTAGTGTGTGTGTCTGCTAGTGAGTGTTAGTGTGTGTGTTAGAGTGTGTGTTAGAGTGTGTGTTAGAGTGAGTGTTAGAGTGAGTGTTAGTGTGTGTGTTAGAGTGAGTGTTAGAGGGAGTGTTAGTGTGTGTGTTAGAGTGAGTGTTTGAGTGTTAGTGTGTGTGTGTCTGCTAGTGAGTGTTAGTGTGAGTGTTAGTGTGAGTGTTAGAGTGAGTGTTAGAGTGAGTGTTAGAGTGAGTGTTAGAGTGAGTGTTAGTGTGTGTGTCTGCTAGTGAGTGTTAGTGTGTGAGTGTTAGTATGTGTGTCTGCTAGTGAGTGTTAGTGTGTGTGAGTGTTAGTATGTGTGTCTGCTAGTGAGTGTTAGTGTGTGTGAGTGTTAGTATGTGTGTCTGCTAGTGAGTGTCAGTGAGTCTTTGATGTCTGTTAGTGAGTGCGTGTTTGTCAATGAGAGTGTATGTTTTGTAAGTGAGTGTGTATGTATGTCTGTCGCTGAGTGTGTCTCTGTTAGCTAGTGTGTATGCGTTTGTAAGTGTGTGTGTGTGTGTGTCTTCAGCACTTACCTTTCTCCAGCGCCGGACTCCCTTGGCGCTAGGGATCCCTCAGCCTCTCAGCTCCGAATGCGACCGCGCACGCATTCAAACCGCCCATAGGAAAGCATTACTCAATGCTTTCCTATGGACGTTCAGTGTGCTCCTCTAGCGGCTGTCAGTGAGACAGCCACTAGAGGCTGGATTAACCCTCAGTGAAACATAGCAGTTTCTCTGAAACTGCTA